GACTCAATCCTTTTTTTTTTTTTTGCATTCTCGATGCTGAGTACAGCACTTAGCACAAAGTTAAGTTCTCAATATGTTTATATTAACTAAAATGATGGTTGAATAAATGAATGATAGGCAGGCAGGCAATAACTAAATAAACATCTATTGAATGAAAACTGCATATATTTTGAGTAATACTCAACAATCTTGTAAAGTCTAATAGCAAGTAAGGCCCAGTTAAACCCACTTTCATGAATATATCACTTTCCACAACCTATGGGAAGAAAGGATATTCTTTTTAACTTATTTACATCAAATATTAAACACAAGTCAAACTTTCAAGACATTAATTATTACTATTTGCAATGTATATGAAATTTATTTCTTGTATTTTTATTATTTCATTGGCTAAAACCTTCATATGCTATTCTTCCTTTCAAATCTGCTATGACAAACAAGGTTATTTTTACTGTATCAAGTTCTATCTAATAAAGATTGCTGGACATTAAATAAATGTACTGTACAGGATAAAAAAGTATCTGTAATCAAAGATGTTAGAAGCTCATAAGTCTATGGGCTCAAAGTTCAAAGTCATAGACTGTGTAATGAACAAATTCAGAAACAGGAAAAACATCATGAGGAAGAATTGAACTACGTGGGTTGGGTTGAATGGTATTTGCCGAATGGAGCTGGAGAATGTCATTTCCAAATGGGATATGGAGTTATCATGAACAAGAGTCAACAGAAGGGCCTCCTGGTGGTCTAGAGATAAGTCTCAGCACTATCACTGCTAAGGCCTAAGTTCAATCCCTGGACAGGGAGTAAACACATATATAGTGCACAGCAGGCCTCTCCTCTCCTGCCTGCTGCTCCCCTCAGCAGTGTATTTCAGTAGATCAGCCTGTTCTGCTGCCCACTCTGATTCTGGTAAATTCTCACCCCCTGTACCGCTGGCCTACACCCCAATTCTTATGTGCATAAATAAATAAAAATGTGTTTTAAAAAGTCAGAAGGAAAGGATGCATAGACTCTAACTTCTGACTGAAGTTAGAGGAGCCATGAGCAGCGATGAATAGGTTGGTGAGAGAAGCTGGATAGCAGCACCTGGCTTGTCAAGCTGGCAGTGACCAGAACAAAATTTGGAGAACTGAATGAACTTGAGGTTGTTTTCAGAGGAAACCACTTCTATGAGTAGTAGCTAACTCACTTCACAAAATACTGGAGAAGACTTAAACAGTCTCAAACTAGAGCAGTGACCTTCACAGCAATACTGATTATATAGCTTCATTTATTTTCAGAGTTCTTAGTGGCTAAGTACTTTACACATATTATCATACTTGATACTTGTAACAATTCTGGGAAATAAGTGTTCTCATCCATGACAGATTAGAAAACTGCAGTTTAGAGAAATCAAGTAACTTGCCAAAACTACCAACTTAAGTTTAACCCTTGGTCTGTGACTTCACAATCTAATCTTTGCACCTCCTGCATTCTCAGTTAATTCCAAAATAGTTCCACAGAGCAGGGGCCTCCAAAGGAATCGGCAGGTATGAGTGCCTGTGCTTTGTCTCATAAGGCATAGCTCATTGATTTGTGACCCACATACTTGCATCCACATTCAGGAAACTCAGTTTAATTAGACAAAAATTATTGTGGCTTTTCTGAACCCTTGTGCACCTGGTTAGCAGCTCTGGAAATGACAAGGACTGACAGGTAGAAACCTTCACATACCTTTCACATCCCCAGCAGACAATCATCTAGCCTCTCACTCATCTCACTTATGCCTGAACACTTTCCACATGGGAGTTCAAGCTTTGTGTGAATGGCAAAAAAAAATTGTTACACTTTCGAGCAGGAAAGAAATGGTCTTCTACGTAATTCCCTCCACGCCTAGATCCTGGATCTAGCACAATACTATGTCAATTTATAATTTTATGTAGAAATTCCCCAAAAAGACTGTGCTTCTTTATTCTTCTAGTAGCTAAATACTTGCCATATGACAAAGCTTCTAAAGCACTTATCATATGCTTGCTGTCAAATTTGTCTTTAGTGTTTAATATCCTCTGAACATTAGAGTAAAATTATTACCATTTTTAAGTTGAACATTTCATTTATATACAGACTGTTACAGCTTATGTATTACCTTTTCAACACAGGCTGCTAGGAATTTTGTATACTTGAGTGCCAGTCACAAGAACTTTCAGGAAACCAGATTGAATTTCTTAATTTATTTAACCTAAACACATAATATGTATCTATTTCCAAGTGGTATATTTTCAGTTTGTTCCACTGTTCCAACCTACTTAAATCTTGATTCTGTGCACTACCAGTAAGCCATCTCCACTGTCATGTAATATCCTTAGTGTATTTGACACTAAACTGACATTAGAAAAATTCCAGACCCATGCATCCAAATCTAATCCCTCTAGAAGACACAGCATAGTCTTCTGAGATGGTCTCAAGAGATTTTATCCCTCCTGGAGGGATGTCTTAGAACTCTATACCCTTGCAGGAAGCTCTGCCATGGTAGGGACTGAGAGGGAAATGCTGAGACATCACACAGACAATGCTTAGAAGGGAACATCTGTGAACAAAGCAAAATTCTTTCCTTTGAGAATAATTCCTATGTGTATCTCTGATCTAGACATTACCCTTAATTATTCAGCCTTGGTACTTGCCTCCAAGATAGACCTAATGACGATATTCCATCTGCTACCACCTCCCTAACCTAATGATCCAATTTCCTCTGCCACTCCAGACAAGATGTCCTCTATTTCTGGATCCAGTTATTGAAAATGTCGAACAAGACAGGAAAGAGGTATGAAGACATAAGGCTTTCTATCAGGTCACTGTTGATCACATATGACATACTATGACTTCTATATGATAAAGAAGAGTGGCTTCATTTCTCTCTATACAACTCTATAAAGCAATCTGGCTTAGAGAAGGTGGGGAAGCAGGAAAAAACAAGTATGTTTATTAGAACTTGTTTGCAAGAGGAAATTGGCCATGAATCTTAATTGGGAGGGGACTATATCAGAATCAGGAAACTTTGGGGAAGACTTTTAAAAACTTCCATCTCCTCCAATCCTCACATGGCCCGGTATCTCCCACACAGAACCAAAGGCAAATGTGGCCTACCTTCAAGTTTTGTTTGTAAAAAATGAAGAAGAAAAGGAAGAAAAAGGTGAGAAAAGCAATCAGTTCACCTAGTGAGATAACCCTTGCTCCCTGATTGCTGTCCACCAGTCGGGCTGAAGAATGGGCTCTATGGATTAGATATGGTCACACTGTATTCTTGCTTCTGCAGTCGGCAATTCTTGGATACTTGTGTTCACAGAGGCTTAAGCTAACAATGTTAGTTAGGATTCCACAGTAGATCTATCCTGGGAACCAGCCTCACTAGTGTTGCCCTCATTACCAACAGGAACATGACTCCCCTCTCTAGAGCCTCTCTTTGATGAACACAGTTCCATTCTCTGGGAACGAAGGTTCGGACCTGGAACAACCACTTGGTCATGTTAACTTTCCTGTTTGATTTTATGGTAGCCCCTTTAAATCTATATTGTAAGATGCCATTGCATATTGTTGTTACTTTGAGGGAAGTAGTAAAAGTGTGTGCATATATGTGGCTGTGTGTTTAACCTCAACCGTATCTGAGAGTAACTGTTGACAAACCCTGGGCTTTGCATTACCACCAGTCCTAGTGTGGAATGAGCTGCAGATTACATGCTACTGCTAAATATTTTATTCAGGAGAAAGAAGCAAATCAAAACTGAAATTATAATAATCATTTGCTTTAAATTTACAGATATTGAAGAAATCTGTATTCTTTCTACATTAACAAACTATTTCTACATATTATATTAAAACCACTTTAGCTAAATCTTTCATTTACAGAAATATTATCACACCTTTGTGGTAAAAATATTAAATTCTCAATATTATTGAAATTACTGAAAGCTAATTGAAGAAATAAAATGATCTCATAAACAATTTTGTTGTTCCATAGGATTAATTCTTTGAATATTTAATAGACTATTTAAAAGAGAAGAATATAAAAATAACAAATACTTATGTACATGGCTAGGTGTAGTAAATTTCCCCAGATCCACTTCCAATATCAATTCTATTTTCATTACTGTAGTTAGAATGCTTTTGGACTAAAGGGAAGAGATTAGTGGCAATTATAACACAGTTGGGATTTGCAGTTCAGCTTTTGGTCCTACTTTCAACCAGAGTTCCACAAAGTGAGTGAGCTATAGAGGCATGCCACACTAGCTCGAGAAGGTCACCACAGACAAAACTGATCTCAAAGCAATCAGACCCACTATCACTTATCTTCACACCACGCTTCGATACTCTCTTCTGTCCATTAATCTTGGGAAATACCTAAACTTTAGTTTCATTGGGTCAGAAAAGACTTTATGAACTGTATGCCAATTATTTTTACAAATAAAATTTATATATCCATAATCTCCCTGACCCCAAATACAATAACAAAAAACCTAACATTTGACTTCAGTGATTAAATTAGTAAATATTGAGTCTTTAACTTTTTTCTCATTTTAAAGTGAAGCTCTGTGCATTGCTTTAAGAGGGTCCCCATAATTCTCAACATGTATTTTATTTTTTAAAAAAGTCACTGAAGATTTTCTTGAAAGCAGGTAAAAATGGGTTTTTCTTTTTTAAATAAGGCGACAATCCTAAATGAGTAAATGAGTAAATGAGTAAAACCATCGTAAGCCAGTCACTTCAAATAAAGTGACCTAATCAGTCCTCATGATTTTTGGCAATCTGTGGTAGAGGCAACTGTACAGAAATGAAACTAGAAAAATCAGTTCATGCCACTGGACTTTGTGGTTCAATCCATGCATACGTTAAATGGAGAGTGAGAGAAACAGTCTGGGTGCCACAGCTGCCCCTTGTGACCCTGAGCTAAGAATTGGTGAGGGAGCCCAGAAGTCATGAACTCTGCCTCAAAAAATGCTAAATCAAAAAAAGAAGTCAAACCTTACCAGCAAGGAGCAAGCTGACTCCACAGAGAACTAAGCCGGCTAAAGAGTCCATGCTTCCCCAGATCTCTCCATCCAGTTTCTGCAGATGTGCATGAGGTCCCCAGGAGCCTTTCAAACACCCAGCAGTTTGTGACTTTCCGTTCGCAAGTTCTCCTAGGTCTTGTTTACAAGTCAGGGGCAAGAAGCAACAGCACAGAAGCGAGCTGTAACAGCCTCATTTCTGTCTGAGCACAGGGAGTTTTAAGTTCCTTTTTCCTGTTTCCTTTGTAGATTAGGATGGGAAAGGCTGTATCTTAAAGGCATTTGGTATCAGCAAGACTGGGGGCACTGCAAGCTCGATTCATCTTGCAATTCATCAAAAACACTTATCTACTGCTGTTGCTTCTGCTGCTGCTTCTGCTGCTGTTGTTGAGGTAGAGGAACTTTTGTTGCACATGTGGGTTCTGGTCAGCATTTTCAGAAACAATAGGGGTATCCTCTCATAGGCGGGAAACTGAGAATAACAAGCTCTCCACCTATGTATGGTATGCGATGATGACCAGCCCTTCTCAGACCTCTAACAGCTCTCCCGGGACCACTTGGGAGCCCTGACAGAAGGGGGTTTGGAGTGTGAGGGGCAGATTTTGCTTTTGTTTTCTCATTTTAATGCACATGGTTTGAATCGGAAAAGTTTTTCATGATGAGCACGCAACCCAAAAGGCAACTAATTGGAGTGACTATCAGTGAGGTCGAGGCTCAGTGTAGTTACGGATACCAGGGTCCAAAATTGTTATCCTGTTTTCTTTTACACAGATGGTTCTTTTACACAGATGGTTCTATTGGTCAAGAGCCCAAAGATATCTGTGCTATTGGCTATGACTTTCACTTTTGTTAACTATTTACCTGAAGATAATCTAATTTCTTAAAGAAATTGCCATAGAAGAATTTTAGTAACGACAGGGACTCAGGGCTGTTAGCCAATGGTATTACAGAAGTAAATTTTACCCCCAAACCTTAGAATAACCTGGTTAAAATCCAAACACAAGCAATTAGACTATGATAAAAATATCATTCCTGAGAGTACATAGGCCAAAAGGAAAATAGTCATTGAAGTAGCTATAGCTAATTGAGATTAGTGACCCTAAATTTATCCAGATAATGTCTCCATAGTATAAATTATGACTTTAAGATAGAGTAATCTCTCACCATGCCTTTGTGCCTGAGGAAACAATTATCTGCTCTTATTCTTCCCACTTACCACAGGAAAAGGTAAATGTTATTAGTCTTACCTAATTTCTGTCCCAGATTATATCACATCTGCAGTGATCTTGAGAACCAACTGATGTCTCCAATTTGCAGGGGTAGAAAGGCTTTGGCACACCGGGGTTGAAATACAGATGCAGTCATAGTGTGGTCTAAGAGAAGTCACTTCATCGCTTTGATTCAGTTTTGACAGCTGTAAAATGGCAATATCTCTGTGACATCTTTGAGAGGATTAAAGCTATAAACACACTGGCACCATGCCTGCCTATTCCATAGAAGGCTCCCAGCAAGTGTTAATACTAGTTTTTATCTTTCCATTCTGTCTTAGAGTTCAGTCTTAATTGCTTATGCCAGAAAGTTTCTCTATTCCTGTGAGAAGGCTTTAAGTTTGTCATTATAGAGAACCAGTCGAGGATTCTGAACTGGACTGTGCTAGTCCCAGCTTTGCCTTGATCTGCCTGTGAGGCCTTGGGCAAGTCATTTCCCATCTCTAGGCCCCAGTTTCCTCATAGGTAAAATAAGGGATTCCGGACTGGATGTGACTCATTTCCTTTTTTATTATAAAATCTCATCTGTCAGCCACTAAATTGTACAACTCTGAGCACCCCTAAATTGATGTCCAGGGCCTTTCATCTAGGCAGTTCCAAGATGCCAGGTTTCTATTTCCATCTCCATGAAAACTTGGGAAGGTCACAAACGTGCTTTATTTGAAGAGCATGGTGGTTGACACTTTAATGTGCGATCCACCAACTCTAGACCACATGGAGCAGCAATGAAGGTTTGGGGAATAAACCAGGCCCCCAGGCACCTGTCCCCATCAGCACAAGGTCCCTCTGTTTTGCTTTATGGCCACACAAGGAAGTCACCATTGCTCACTACCCCCCCCACCCTTCCAGTGGTTAATTCTTATGGGCTGAAGGTGCCACCCTACTTCCTTTTTTGGGCTGCCTCCCAGAAAAGCTACACAGTTTCCTCTTACCCTGTTAGCCAGAAATATCTACCTTTCCCAAAATTCTTAGCAAGTTCTTTCTCTTGCCATTATCCAGAATGAGTGGCTCAGTTACATCCTTGTAATCTTTGTAATCCAGTAGTGCTACTCAGTATAATTTTCTACCAAAAGAGTCACATGGTTAAATCTTACTTTCAAGGATTCAGAATGATTATCCCATTTAATCCTTTTTACTGTTAACCTACTCTGGATATTCTCTGCATATTCTTTGACTCCATTTGATAAAAACTGCTCAATTTTCTAAGCCTGTGATTCAACAGCTGGTCAAAGACTAACCAACTTTTTTTCTGAGGACTCTGAATAGCTGGTATATAAATTCTAGGTTGAAAGTGAAGGTAACTTATGAACCAACTTTCTAGACATATTCCACTCCAGCTTTCTGCCCTATGGAGAACCAATCAAGAAATAATACAAGCTTCCCCAGCACTAAGGAGCCAAGAGGTCAACAGAGTTGACTGGCAACAGGTTGAAAAGTTGCAAAACTGGATGGCATGCCAGGATTTCCAAGGGAAGGGAGAGGCCACTTCCATGTCTGGACAGAACTTTCCCCAATACATAGCCCCAATAACATATTAAGGAAATACCACATGGACATGGCCACAGCCCTGCTCTAGAAAGCTGGTGATGCCCATCCTCAGACATCCAGAAGAGCCATGCTGGCAGCATGTAGACAAGCTCTCTACAGGTCTCAGCTGCTCCAACCACTGGACAGGTTGAAATGCTGTTCCCACCCTTGCCTGACTAACTCCTTGTTGTCTGTCTAGAGCTGTCTCTGTAAAGGTCTTTCCTGACCATTCAATCCAAATTAGGGCTCCCATTATTTTCTCCCAACATCCTTTTCTTTCATACCAGTTATTACTGATCACCATATATCTATGTCTATCTTTTTATTCTCTTTTTCCTGCCCCATAACCCTGTGACGAAGTTTTATGCAACAGGGATCATATCTAGTTTATTTAACATTAAATTTCCAGAGCTGAGCAGTTGTCTGGCACATAGGTCTTAAATATATATTAAACATATCCTTTAGCCCAGAAAAGCCACTGCTATGATATCCTCCAAGCCAAAAATCAAATATGTGTCCCTACATTTATAAATAAGGGCATTTATGTATTATAGAAGCATTATTGGTAGTAATCAGATTGCTAGATTGAATTACATTATGTAAATCATGGTACACTGTGAAATAACAGACAAGTGTCAAAATGCTGTGATAGAAGCATATTGACAATGAAACATAAAAATATTTGTGGCATACTGTTTGAACAGTGTAATTTGTATACATATACATTCTACATGTGTGACAAGTAGATACCAGAAGCTATTATTTCTGGGTCACTGGTAGTTTTTATTCTTTCTTGATAATTTTGTATAATTTTAGCATTTAAATAAATGAGCATGTATGTAGAAATGAAGAAGACTGGGTTAAGTCCTAGAGAGTTGACCTAGGGCAGTAGGAGATACCCTAAAAACCACTTTCAGGCTGAGGTATATTATGGGAGCTTTGGTAGTGGGTGTGATGTGGTAAGAGCCATTTAAGAGGTGTGAACTTATACCCCTAAAATAAAATGTTGTAAACCAGTCATCCCAATAAAATATATTTAAAAATCCCACCCAATGAAAAACAAGGAAGAATGAGTAATTGGCAGCCTCCAGGAGGTGAGCAAATGGAGTGAAGTGCTGGCTTCCCACAACTTAGTGAGGTATTTGGCATTTTGCAACTTGGGGGCACTGAACCTTCAGAGCCATCACATCTGGCTCCTTAAGAGTATCATCAACTTTTTCTGTGGCCAGCAAAATGGGAAGAGTCAGTAACAATTAAGTCTTGGCCTTCCGCCAGGATACCACAGTTAAAGAGGCAACACCCACTGTGGTCTGTAACAAGCTGAAGGCTATGGAAAATACCTGACCCTCTCCAAACCTCACTTATGCTAACTTATTTTTTCAGAATCTAAATGGGCCAGCTATGTGCTTGTCACTGTCAGAAGAGACCCAGGTATAGATGAAGTCTCTGCTTTTGTGGCTCAGTATTACACAGTACTAGCCATGGAAATAACTACATCTAAATAGGAAAAGTTAAATGACAAAAATCAGGTGTTGTGCATTAAATGGCAATGGGCAGTAATCATCGTTAAATTTTAGTAATTTTTACTTGGGTACCCTGTAGGCCATGAGGCACCAATTTTCTCCCCTTCTGCTATTTCTGTGAAGAGGGTGACACCTTTTCTATCAGACAGACACTCAATAACTTAAGGAAAAAGTAACAATTAGGCTATCCTGCAACAACTTTGGGACCAGTTTGCCACAGAGACAGAGGGTACTACCACCATCCCCTCAAAAACAAACCAAACAAGGAAAAAAAATAAACAAAACTTGTTCATCTTTGAAAATATAATTCAAATGTCACTTCACCTGTGAAAACTTATTTCAATAGTTGCACTGGTAGCTAGTAAACCACCCCAAAGTCAGTGGCTTAATACAAAAAATATTTCCATAGCTCATGATTCTGGGCCAGTAGTTGGGGCTCACCTGGACAGCGCCGAGCTTAGAGGTCTGTCTGGTGTGTCTATAGTGAAATGTCAGTCATTACCTGGCGCGGCTGCAGGGACTGAAGGAGCTACATCTCTTATCCTCTAGCAACATCTCTTATCCTCTAGCAAGCCAGCCTGGTTAGTAGGGCAGGCTCAGAAATACAACAAAGTGAAAATAAGCAACTGCTCTGAAAGCTTTCAAGTTAATTAAACATGAAGGCTACCAAACTGACGTACCTCTTAACACAGCGGCAACAGACATTAGTAAACCCACAGCTGCAAGTGCCTCCGTTATAAAAGTGAAACGCTAAGGCCGACCAATCACAAGCTGCCAACTAGACTAGGCTTAGCCAATCACTTTCCACATTTTGCTCTCAGCTTTTCCTTGTAAATATCTCCCCACTGATCACATCTCAGAGAAGTGTTCTACTTCCAGGGTAGTAATGCCCAATTTAAATTGATTTTTGCTCA